CCCCATCGGCCCCCCTATATCTTCCAATGAGTTCACGCTTCGAGAAGATATTGCCATGGTACTAACCAAATCCAGGGGTCACACACAACAACGGCACCATCTGGAAGCTGCAGCTTCGCAATTTCAGCCTGTACCCTTGAGTCTGCCAATGTTATTTTCTCCGCTGTCAAAATCTCATCGTCATCGCACGGCCCATGGAAACCTGTCGGCACCTCTATTTGTCTCTCGACTTTCTTGTCGGAAAGATCCAGAATTGCCTCGTAGAAACTCGCCGTGCCGACAAGATAGTAATTCACCCAAGCTTTTCTGGCGGGCGTGTGCATCCATGGCTCAGTGGCGGAGTCAAATACTTTCATCTCCCCTTTCGATGGTTCATGTAACGTAATTCCCTTGAAGCGAAGTTTCGTCCCGGGAGCATGACAAGAGCGTACCAAGCTTGCAGCGACTACTATCTCATCCTCCTTCAAAGCAGTAAGCGGATGGGCCCTGGAAATATTCGACATGATGGCTGCAAACAACTCGGAAGGTAGTTGATATCAAAACAGTATGGAAAGTTTCTTTAATATTCAAATCGTTCTGATACTTTAGTCCGTTATTGTGGCAGCGTACACTGATTAACAATAGGCTTTGAAAGGCCAAAACGGTCTTAATCTTTAATGCCTTAAACAGGGATTAGTACAGTAGTGGTCTTGAGACAAACCACCTAGTCAGTTTTCGGTGTCGCGCAACTTTGAGTTGATGATGTGCCTTGCTCCACAAACGCCAGTAGCGCCCGGAGCGAGCGAACCGCCAACTCCTATCATCAATTTAGTGCAGCCATCGGTCGTGGCCTATTTCGGTGTCTTATCTTCCCCGTTATTGAAGAGCATGATAGCCGCGGTGAACATGGGGCATCATGCAGGGTGTTGATCAGTCCGTGACATTGGAAATCTGACATTGCTGCTTTGAGGGATAGGTACCAGGATACCAGGATACCGGGTCGTATCAGAATGCAATCCCTGGCAGCAACTTATCACGAAAGATAAGACAGGGGCAAGGCAGCACAGCAGAATGATACAATAAGCAAGTCATCGTCTGAGATTCGTTCACATGTCTTGGGATTTCTCTACTCATTCTTTTACTGTAGGTAACTAGGTGTCTCGCACGGTTTCGCTTTTCAGCTATTGCATTGTCTTCCAGACACACCCTCCACAACAAGTCTATCATGGCAGATGATAGCGTAAGCCATGAAACAAAGAGTCCGCTTGAAGCGGCAACTTCAGACAGGAATTCCATCGAACAAGGCCACGTTGTTGATGCCGATGACGGGTTGCTGGAGATACTTGGATACAAACAAGTCAGGACAGCTCTAGACTTCAAACAGGTTTAAGAGCGATTATTATTAACGTATGAGCTAGGAATTTCGTCGAGAATTCACGCGATGGAGTACTCTCTCGTATGCTATCTCAATAATGGGAGTCCTTGGATCTGGTATTATTCCATGCTCACCATTCTCATAATCTGAGACTGACAGACGAAAAAAGTTCCCGCAACGTGGTCAGCACCCTTGTCATCTGGCGGCCCTTCGACAGCTATTTGGACGTGGTTCTCTGGGTCTATATTCTCTCTATGCATAGCCCTCTCAAGTACGTTTATACATTATACTGTTAAGAGCTATGAAATTCACGGTAATTGACGAGTTTCAACACAGTTGCTGAGCTCGTATCTGCATATCCTACGTCTGGGGGAATATACTTCATCACAAAGCATGTATTTCCACCCGAGATTGTTCCGCTGGCAGCTTGGATTATTGGGTGGTCAAATTTTCTGGGACAGTGAGTTATCGAAAAGCTTTGTGAAGTGCAAACCAAAATGCTTACCGATCAATAGAACTGCAGGCGTCGGTAAGTTGAAGTCATTGAAGAGGACTAGCATTGAAGTTACTCACAAGCTTGTGGTAGCAAGCGTAGGATATTCGGTCGCACAAATGGTGAGCATAACGTCTCTTTGGTCGAAAACATGAAGGGTTTACATCCTAATCTAGATTCTTGCTGCCGTCTCAATGGGCTCATTACAAGATGATGGCACGTTCTCGTACTCTCCGTAAGTGCCTAGATTACTGTCTGGCGGCGGAAGCAACCTTTACTCATTATCGCTAGCACCCCAGAGACTACGGTTGGAGTAAGCATTGCTGTTCTGGTTTGTCATGGCATCCTCTGTTCGTTGCCATCAAAACGCCTGAGTCAAATGATCCGTTGGTTTGCTCCTTTGAACAGTGAGTTTACTATGTTGGTAACACAATTAAGTTGCTGACCTGTTAGTTCTTGGATCCATCGCTATCGCAATTGCACTCCTTGTCCTCTCTCCGAACCGGCTACCTGCAAAAGAGGTATTTGGCCATGTTACAGACGGTTCTGGATGGAACAGCAAAGGCTTCTCATTCTTGATCGGGTACCTTTCCGTGGCTTGGACAATGACAGATTGTATGTTTTCTTATTGCTAACATATTTTCCCAGGCTAACAGTAGGGTTCCAGATGATGCAACAGCTCACCTATCAGAGGAATTGCATAATGCCGCCATTAGCGGGCCCGTTGCGATTTTCCAAGCAGTTCTTGTTTCTTGGGTAAGATGTCGTGCGCACAGCTACACCCCCCCCAACTCTGACAGATCATAGGTAATTGGCTGGCTTCTGAACGTGGCCCTTGGATTCGGTGTAGGCAACGTGGCCGACACCTTAGCCACTCCTATGGGAAATCCCGCAGCTCAAGTCTTTCTCAACGCCGGTGGCAGAAGTGGCGGCTTAGCTATGTGGTTCTGGCCCATACTCATTCAATTCTTTACAGGTTTGAAAGTAGTGTAACATTGGATGAATCTTTGTAACTGACACTGTAAGGAATCACTGCCATGCTGTCGGACACTCGAACTTGCTTCGCTCTGGCCCGCGATGAGGCTCTGCCACTCTCAAGGTGAGTCCCTTGTCCAAGTCTTTTGCCGGAACCGAGACTCATTTTATATAGTACTCTCAGAAAAATGAATCGATACACTCAGACACCACTGTATAGTGTTTGGGCCGTGGTTCTGTTTTGCTGTCTTCTCAACCTCATAGCTCTTGGTAGCACTCAGACAATAAATGGCATCTTTGGAGTCACCGCACCAGCTATGGATCTCTCTTATATTGCTGTCATAGCTGCGCGGCTCTTCTACAGCAAGAAGTATCCTATCGCAAAAGGACCATTCACGCTCGGCCGGTTTCAGAAACCTATCAACCTTGTCGCTATCGTCTGGACGGTGTTCATCTCCATTATCCTTCTCTTCCCACCAGCATATCCCGTCACGGCATTGAACATGAATTACGCAGTAGTGATTGCGGCATTCATCGCTACTTTTGCGCTGGCTTGGTGGTACACTGGAGCAAAAAAGCAAGTTACATATGCTGATGTGTTCATGGAAGCCCTTCCTAACTTCTCGACAGGTATTATGTTGGTCCTCGGACAGAAGAACATTGATTTCAAGTGAACAATATCGATTAGCTGGGAATTATGATGATATTGGACCTCTTGAACTTATGTGATGCTTTGTCAGGCAAGCGGTAATAAGAATACGAGACCTAAGTATATTACTTTGAATTATACTTCATATGTAGTAATATAGATATTGTTACGCAGCAGCGCTACTTTTCACACGAACTACTGCTCTCAGTCGAAAGCAGTTAGTAGGGCTTATTTAATATCATGAAGAAGCAGGCGCTAAGTATCAGTAACTAGAAAGCCAAAGCTTCCACTGCAAGTGTCCTAGAAATGAGGTTCATCGAACATCACCCAGTGGCGTAGACCTCGACATAGCCGTCGTGATACCTGTGATGATATGCGTGGGATTTTGCAAAGACGTAAAGCAGTGCATTCAGAGGCGCGAAGGTTGATAAATGGCCGCTCTTGCTAGATCGCGCGAAATGCGTAGACCATTGGGCAGGCTTCGGTGGTTGGGGTGGGAAGGACCGCAGAGCCGCATCATCGCTCCACCTTAGCGCATAAGATCCAGACCTCATCACCTCCCTCACCAAAACAAACAGACACAATACCACCAGATCAGCAAAAGGACTAGATCAAAGCTTCAGAATGAGTAGGAATATCCCCCGTAATAGTAAAAAAAGAAAGGAGGCAAAAATAGTTGAGCGGAGCAAAAGAGTTCGTGCCGGCGAGCCACTCCCGCTGAGTGACGGCCCTACTTCTCTTTCGCGGTCGCATCCCTCATTCGGCCGAGAGGGGAATCGAACGCGGCGCGTTGCGTTGTCGTCGGGGGTGTCGTCGGGGTTGTCGTCGAGAGCCGTTCCGCCACCGGGCGTGTCGTCGAGAAGGTTAAAGAAAGGCAACGATAAACACCTTTATAAGGGTTAGTCCGTTTTCCCGTGACTTTCCCCATCATGACGATACCATCAGCGTTGCCGTCCTGCAAATGTTGATGTCAATATGAACCCATGACAACCTCACCCCTTTCTCACCCCTATCTCAGACCTCGGACCCACTCACCACCCTGAGCCCACGCCTTCCCAACTTGCTAAGCTCGCGAAATCCACAACAGTACCTTGATAAAGGCCGTTTACATGCACAACACCCTTTTTGTTTCTATATCAATCTTGCCACCTTTCCTGGGGTCCAACTCCAAGGCCCACTATATCCAAGCTCGTCTACCTTGACTACCAACAATGCTCTTATCTCACCTATGCTAGAAGCTAACATCACGCAGCACCTTAGGGATTTGATAGGTATTCCTTCGAAGATACTTCAGCCTCAAGATGCTACAGAATCAACACAAGGCGACTTGACCCACTTGATTGATCCTTGATGGGAACGGAGCAAAACAACAAGACTACCAGAAAAGAGCATAAAGCACATGTACAAATGTTTGGTACCGAAGTCCACGAGTAATAATTATTCATTCAGAATAGGTGGAATGGTATCATAAGAATGGACTTGCCTCCGGAATCAGTTCGTTCATGGTTCATGACTTCCTTCCCAATGCTCTATGGTTCGTATGACTTCGCTTCCTTGAATATCAAATGCGGCTTTCGCTTTGCAATATCTAAAATAGTCTCCGCAAAGACACCATTTGCCCCTAGAATAGATGTTAGTAATGCATGTTTTCACCCTGGAAAGGAGAAGGGTAAAATAGTGGGAGCTTACAGGCAAACCAGCTTCCTGTGCCAGAGATCAGCTAATACATCTCTCAGACATGCGTGGGTAAACTCACTTGTATAAGACACGGCGTAGTTGACGTCTACACTCTCATGGACAAGTCCAAGTTTGCTAGAGCTTAGGACGAGATTGATACACTCCATGATCTCAGTATCATCAGATGATGTTTGGGCCTGAATGAGTAAACTCATCGGCCAGGCATTCGACAGACCAATATGTGGACCTACAACCAATTAGCACATGATAGCAGCATTTGGGAAATGATTGCAAGCTCTTACCTCCAATGCCATGGAATTCTCTGCCTGTGAGGAAATAGGGGTTCGACTGCTTACTCAGCAGCATCTTCCTCGTGTTCTGGTAGATCTTGTCGTCCGAAGTCACAAAGCCCATCAATGGCAAGGCTAATAAACTCGGATAATTTGCATCGTCCATCAGGATGGAGCTGCCATAGCCGTCAACCTCATACGCGAACACATCGCCGAAAACCTTGTGGTGTATGACGCCATGCTCCCATACGCCCTTGGTGATTGTGTCGCTCCACTGCTCCACGGTCTGTGCAACTGTAGCGTGGCCTGCTTCTTTCAATATGGCAGCAGTACGCTTCAATTCTACAGCTATCATGGCGTTGGCAGGGATGAAGAAGCCCAGAATGGTCGCATCGTCACTGGGTCGGAAGGCTGATCTAATGAGTCCGGTCCCATTGTTGAGTGGGTTCCCTACGCCCATGAGGTTCAAGGTCTCAGTTCCGGTATTGGTATTTCTTTGGAAAGTATACTCGTTCCTCCTGTACCGGCCAGTCTCTGGATCGAATGTCGACATGCTCTGTTGATCTAGCACTCTGAGCAAGGTGTCAATTGCACGTAGCCACCTCTTGTTAACAAAATCGGTCGAACCAGTCTGCGCATAGAACTCATTGGCCAGTGCCAAGAAGTGGGCCAAGCTATCCAACTCGTACTTGCACTCGAAAACGAAATTAGGCTCGTACGCCGGATGAACGACATCGTTCTGCCCATTCATGCTGATCGGAAGTCCCGAGATGGGCGGCGGTTGGAAGGCGTTGCAGTAGGGCGACTCAATCACATACTCGGACTGAGTGTTGATTGCGCCAAGGATCAAGTCAAAGATGTTTGTGTCTTTCTTAGCCAGCGTCTGATATGGCTTTAGTTGGTTGGTGCTATCGCGCAGCCACTCTGCAATGATGTCGCCCGTGATGACGAACGATTGTGGTCCCTGCCATGCCTCCTCATCATAGAGCGACCATTCAGAGCTTTCGCGCTTGGTGCTCGCACGGGTGTGGAATTTGACGGTAGTATCGGTAGTAGAGGGGAAAGCATTTTCAAAGAGGCGCGCCAGGTCCTTGTCCTTCATCCTCGAAGTAACATCTTCGATGACCTTCTCAATTGCGTCGGAGTGGAATGTACGACATCGCTTATCGGGGCGCTGGAAGGGAAGTTGTAGAGGGCCGTCACTGAGAGGTCGACTGCGTTGTGTGTTAGTCTAAGGTTGCTAGTCGACCTGGGCGGTCTAGCAAGACTCACTGAGGATAAGCAGCGTAGGTAGTGTAGTCTGGGCATGCGTCTGGATCAAAGCCACCTATAGGCTCCTGCTCGTACGCGCCTCCATACCCGAGAGTGAGAGACACCAGAGGCAGCAGGAGTGGGAGCCTCTTGCGAAGCCAGACCATTGTGACTGCGCCTGTCTTTGCGGCTAAGGTCTAGTGTTCCGGGAAGATCTATGACATGAGAGCGTTTATAACGGGCTGGCCAGGCGCGTGGACATCGTCTCCGACCGCGATGATTAGGTGTTACTCCTCGCTTGGGCTTCGGGCGGTAATGATCGTGAGATTGCGACAAAGTGCGGTGAACGGGTGGTTTACCCAAGTGATGGGAGGGAGCGATTGGCCCCTGGCCACCTGGCGTTTGGGTAAGCTTCCGCAGGCGGGGGGGCGGGAAGCCGCCAAGATTCGCGACCCCGCAGCGTAGCTAATGTAAGGGCAAGAGCCACTCGGTCCACTGAAACAGATCTACTGATCCCAGTCGGATCTGGGCAGGGATAGCAAGCGCAACTCACACACTCGTCTACTTTGGTATATTGATATCTGAAAATTGTGGCCAAAGTCTCAAAGAGGGTATATGCTCCTTCATTACATTTATCTTAATGCACAAGAACAATCTACCTGAAGTTGGCTAGGATATGGTCGTGTCCCTTGGATTGAAAAAATGCCTTGCCAAAGTCGTTAGATTCATATTGTTTCGCACGATTGATCCATCATTATCCGTTAGGGGGTCGGTCATCACTGTCTTTCAAATGAATACAAGACAAGGAGTTCGAGAAACAGAAATCACTTCTTGGAAAAGAATGACATGATGTTGCCTTGAGCACCCTTTGGACCGGATTTTTTAGCTTTCGTGGGCTGTGCAGATGTCTCGACCTTCTTCTTCGGCGGTTGAGGCGTCTCATCTTCAGAGAATGATTCCCAGCCTGGTTCTTGGATCGTCACTGCAACTTAGGGTTAGCAAGTCTACATATAAGCCTCTGGTTGATCTCACTCACCCAGATATCCCTGATCATCCAAGATCTGCTTCTTGCGCATGATTCGTCTCTTGCCCCGCCGGCGACCGTCGCCCGTGCTAGAGACAACTTCAGTCGGCTCCGCCTCCTTCTCAGGTTCTGGAGCTGGCGGCTCCTCAACAGGCTCTTCCATTGGACTGTCAGCTTTCTCCTCTGGCTCCTCTTCTTCGTCCTCGTCGTCCATCATTCGTCGCAAAGCTTCCTCCCGTTCTTTTCTGCTCTGTTTAGGCCCTGAGTCTTCTGTCTTCGGTTTGGGAACAACTTCGGAATCGTCTTCGCCGTCATCAGACATTGCCTGCATGCTAGTATCCGCGTCGGCAGTGACTGGAGTTGCAGGCTGCGAGTCCGTTTTCTTGGGCTTTGCTGCTGCCTTTCCAAACGCTTGCATAATTCCAGAAGACCCTCCTCGTTTCAACGCTGGAACAGGCTTTTTCGCTGGCGCCGCCGCTGACGCCGACGGCTTGGATGGGACTTCCTTTGGCTCTTCTTTGACCTTCGTGAGAGGTGCAGGTTTGCTAAGCGTCGGCTTCGTCTCCTGTTGTTTGCTAATCGTCTGGGCCACAGGGGGCGCGGCGGTACCTTTGCGCTCTCTGCGTCTCACACATGGATTTGTTATAGTGCCATAGGTCGTCCCTGAATCGACAGAGTTATCAGTGCTTGCAGCATCAACGAGCGGTCGTGCAGCATCAGAGAGCAACTGGAGATCCTACTCCTGGTTAGCCTCTGTGATATCGACACGGAATATCACAATATACCTTCAGTGGGTGCGGTCCGAGACTGTACACATGGATCGATGTAACTTGCTCGTACTGAGAGAGCACATCTAGAGATGCATGAGCGCAAATAGAAGGAGTTGCTTAGGGCTGGGAATGCTACCTTTCAGCTGTTCCTCACTTACCAGAGTGAGGGTATGGGTCGTGATTTCCTCAGCAACTGACTCGGCTTCAGGCATAGAGCTTGTCATTTCGACATCCCCATCCTCGCGCACATGGCCATTAGTGGCCTCGACAGACTTCTTGATCCCATAAACTAGGTAAGTCGCGTAGATAGCGCCAGGTCGTCTGTCATTCTGCGACTTGTGGAAGTCATAAAGCATCCTGGGACAGTATGAGAAAACGCCAATTTAGCAACATCATGCTATGTGGACTTACTGCTTGGCAAGGTTGACATTAACCTTAAGAGCCCTACTGAGAGCACGATATGTGACCTGGGCGCGTTAGTTTGGATGAATGAGATAGATTAGCCCGAGGGGATAGGGATAGGTACCAGCTTATCCTCGCTCAAAATCTGCTCAGCAAGATATTTCTTGTAATCGTCCATCTTGAAGCCCACAACTCAGGGTCTTCTTGATCTCGATTCGCACGATGATGGGGAAACGAGTCGTGCAACAAAGAAGAGTAACCGAATCAGAGGCCCCTCTCTCGACTTTCCTGTGCTTCAACGCGTGGCCACGTGACTGCGGGGCCGTCAATTTAGGTAACCTTTGGTAGCGTCAATGACTTCTCACTTTAGCAGGGATCCCGCACACGCGACTCGTACCTTCCGCCAGATCGCGCTCTCTTCCGGTGCAGCGTTTGGGCGGGCGGTCGTTTGAGTCGTTACAGCCTCTTCAATACCAAACAGACAGAAAAGCGACAACTTGACCGGGCAACCACATGGAGCCGGCAATCGCCTTGACACCAGGACTGCGATAGTACGTACCTTACTTACCTTCACCACGGATTATGGACTCCAGAATAGTTGGCCCGATCTCAAAGGACGAGACGTTCGATGTCCCCGACTCGACCGACTGGCTTGGTACGCCTCTCGCCGGTCTTGTTCCAGTAGAGCAGGCCTTGCGCTGCCACGTCTGCAAGGATTTCTACACGTCGCCGATGATCACCTCTTGCTCACATACATTCTGCTCGCTATGCATAAGACGATGCCTTGCTGTCGATGGGAAATGTCCGCTCTGTCGGCACACAGACCAGGAGTCAAAACTGCGTGGGAATTGGGCGATGCGCGAAGCGGTCGATGCGTTTGTCAAGTCGAGAGACGCTATTCTAGCAGTTGCCAGACAACCGCCAGGCTTGGCCGTCCCCGGCTCGCCAAAAAGGAAGGCTGTCACTGAGGTCCTGGGTGACGAAGACGGACATCACAATAAGAGAACCCGAACTTCTGTGCGGTTGAGCAAGGCCAAGGCGGCGGAGACTACAGCAGCAATGATGCGCGAGGAGGTGGATGTACCCGAGAGCAGAGATCCTATGGACTTTGAGCCTAGTCCGTACAACTGAGGCGGTATGCTTGTTGTATTTTTGCTAACGTGTCTCGCAGATGATGGCCTGGTATCCTGTCCAATATGTTGGAAACGAATGAAGCCACAACTGGTTGACAAGCACATTGACACAACTTGCCCCGGTTCACCACAGCCACAATCAAGTAGCTCAACAGCACCGAAGAGCAGTTTCCCTATAATACGATCATCCGATCAGTCAAATCAAGCCGGTGCCAGAACTCCCGAACGATTACCATCCCTAAACTATTCAGTAATGAAAGACGTTGCATTGCGCAAGAAGATGTCTGAGCTAGGCATATCGACTATGGGACCTCGTCAATTACTTGAGAAGAGACACAAAGAATGGGTGACCATCTGGAATGCCAACTGCGATTCAGCCCGACCCAAGAAGAGATCGGACTTGTTACAAGATCTAAGCGTCTGGGAACGAACATTGGGGGGTCAGGCGCCAACCATGTCTCGATCAGCAAACTTAGGTGCGCAGATCAAAGACAAGGACTTCGACGGAGCAGCGTGGGCTGCTAAGCATAATGACTCTTTCAGAGACCTAATAGCCAATGCGCGAAGGACTTCGAAGGTGAAGTCCGAAGAGTCAAGAGAAGGCAGCTCTACACCAGACGGAATCGCCAGTAATAGCAAGTCAAGCGATGAACAACCTCGTTCTTCGGACCCGCCTTTACTTACTGGCGGGGAGCCTGCGAGAAATTCGGGCTTTGTTGATCTCACAAACCAACCGTCCAGTCCGCCGAGTGTGCCCAATTTTGGTTCGATGAACGAGGGTGGGTTCAAGAATACGGCTGCAAGGAATACCATCTCTGAAACTGAAATGCCTCGTCTCTTTGCTTCAGGGGAGATATATAAGCGAGATGTAGAGGTTGCAGCGAGTCCTGACGCTGTTTGGCAGGCACCATCATGATATCGATGGCTACATGAATGATAATTGCAGATATCAAACACGGGGCTTAAGTCTCTAAAGCTTGTACAGTTGTTCATGTGCTCAGTTCATTATGATACCCTATGCATTATTAGCTTGCCAATTGCGCCTGAGGCTTCTCCTCCAGCGACATTCTACTCAACTCCTCCACGGGCTGTGCTGCCTTCGATTCTGTGTTCTTCTCTTCTGCTGCCTCGGCTGGCCGTGATTCGTTCGTGATAGGCTTGAGAGCCTCCAACTCTGTCAATTTTTTCGCCGTCTCCTCCGCTTCTCTTTGTTGCTCCATCTCTCTCTTGGCGCGCTCGGCTTCCTCCCGCGCTCTCTCTATGGCTTCCTCCTTTGCCTTCTCTTCCTTTTCCATGGCCTCTAGCTCGTCGTCGATCTCGCCTTCATCAACAGCTGGGCCGGATTCCGCAAGAATGCTGCCGACCTCGTCGGCCTGGCTCATCTGCTCCCGTAAGTGGTCCACGACCTCCTCGACACGTTCTGCACCGCCAACCTTGGCATTCAGGCTCTTCAGGACTCCTGTGCTGGAGCTCATGACCTTCACAAGTTGGACATTGTCTGCGGCCTGCTCGATCTTGGCTGCTACCTCCTCCAGCTGGCTCAGTGTAGCGAATCGTGTGGCTAGTGAAGACTCCGCGAGTTTCTTCGACTTGAGTGCTGCGAGTGCCGCAACGCGGTTCTTCCTAGTGACTGCATCCTTCGCGGTGGCAGCTAGCTCGTCGATGCGCTTGTTGAGAATTGCTGTCTGATGTTCTAGATATTCGGTAAGCTCTTTCAAGGACGCAATCGACTCGTCTTCCGCTGTGATCCCCGTCTCTTCTACACCAGGGGTCTTGATCTTGATCGTCTTGCCATCATATAATAGCAGCCCTTTGTCTCGTGACATGAACTTCAGGAGTACGTCCAAGTCGGTTTCCGATAGCCTCTGGCCTGTCCATATCGTATTCGCAAAAGTCTTCTGGAAATGTGCCTTGGAAAAAGTCCGCTCGAACCGAGAACTCGCGTCTGCAGTCTGTTCGCCGAACGCCTTCGTCGCCTCCTCTATATTCGCCAGCACGACAAACTGCCCGTTTGGTAACCTGTCATCCCCGCCAACGCCCCCCGTCAGCCCAAGTTGCCGCAGGCCCCATGAGACGACGTTCCACGGTAATGACGTCCAAGACTTGTAGTATATGCTTTCTCTGGCCTTCAGAAAGTCTTGCAAGGGTATCAGATCTTTCTCGAGGGCCGCCTCTCGCACCACAGCACCGAGAGCTAGCGGACGGCCGTACTGTTTGCTCTCGAGAGCTCGAAGCAGAGATTCGTCGGCATTAAGGACAAGGAGATTGGGAGTAGAAGCGCGACTCGGTGCGAGGCCAGATCGCACTAGGCTGCCGAGGGCACGCCGCCATGCAGAAACATTCGCTTGGTACCCATCTGGGTTGATTGTTCGAAGGCCGCGGAAGTCGGAATACAGGGCAGGCAAGCGGGCTCTGTGAAAGAAGCCCATTTAGTAAGAATATATCAGCTTGGGGGTTAAAGAAATTAGACTCACTTCCGGAAACTCTCTTCGTTTTGGACCAGATATCCTAGAAGGTCGCTCATCTTCTTTCAGGTCCAGGTCTACAAGCTGGCTTATAGCCCGATATATGTTCTCTTCTCGGTGAGGTCGTGGCCGTCGGTGACGGGTGACGTAGTGACGCGTCAAATGTAGTTTCAGCACATCACAGTGTGCTTGCATCAAAAAGCGAGGTCTATATTGGAGAAGCCAGCTGTTGCGGGATCAGTCTTGCGCACCATAACAATGAAGGTCTGGACATCTGCTGGGTGCTATGACGGCATGTGATTTTCTGATGTTTACCTGGTTCTGTGCTCGCTTTGTGTTATCGTTATCAGCGCGAGTGGTGGGGTCATGAGATTTCACAGGCTACCCAAGGCGCGGAAGGCGGGTAGGTTCAGTAAGGAAGCCACTGGGAGCCACTAGGTGAAGGCTGAATGAATGGTTTTGGGGGATTCCAATCCTGACCACACAACGCCAGACATTTATTATAGATTCAATCATACTCTATATTTCTACTTTGTTGGATTCCCTCTACATCTACAGAACAGACAGCTGAATCAATTGCTATATTGATACTACGGCATTCTCACACATTTCACAATATAGGGAAGAGGCCCCCAGATACAAATCCGAACGAACCATATCCTACATGTTCTCAAATTTCTTGGCGTGTACGACCAATCATTACATTTTTTATGTGTTTGATCGCAACCATCCGTGACACGCGAGTAATTGCTGAATGCCATCTTATGTAACGTTATATAACGTTATAAGTTCTATTTTATTCTAATGATAAAAAGAATACATCTAAGACTGTAGCACGGTCTAATGGCTAGACTTCCTTCGTTGCTACTTCGCCATCAACAGCCTGAGGACCACGTTTCCCCTTAACACTTTTCCACTCGAAAGCTAGAGCAGGGACAATCGAGAAACACGCAACCGCGGTACCGACATAGAACGTTGTTGTGACTGCCTTATTATACTGCACCAGCACGGTAGGCAACAAGTCCTCCGGCACGAATTGCCGTAAATCAGTTGCCCCTACGCCGGCCAAGACCTCTGCACTGGCGCTCGGCAACACTTTGGAGAGATTTGTGACGAGTTTCTGAATAAACACGTTCTGCGCTACACACACAAACACTGAGCCTCCGAGACTCTGGCCGAACATCATCAGTGATGCGCCGATAGGCACATCCTCGGGCGCGAGAACGACTTGTGCTGCGATGCCGGATTGTTGCATGCCAAATCCCATACCAAAGCCCGTGAGGAACTGGAAGCCGATCCAAGCGCCACTACCACTATCGACTTTCAGTGTCGTGAGCAGACCAGTGCCAATGGACATGAGACAGGCACAAGCGATCGTGAAAGGTGCGTAGTAGCCGAAGCGGCTCACACAGCCGCCGGCAATGATGCTCGCTACAACAAGGGCCAAGACAAACGGCAAGGTCCGGATACCCGACTGTAATGCATCAACGTTATCGATAGCCTGGAACCAGATTGGCATGTAGTAGCTGAAGGCAAGCATGACTCCACCAATGCAATTCGAAAAAGTGAAACCGGCCATGATACTGCGTTGAAGGAAGACGCGGGCTGGTACGGTGGCATTATCCCCACTGCGGCCCTGAATGATGATCCAGAGTATGAGGAGAACCTCAAAGAGAACCAGGAGCGCAATGACTCTTCCGTTACTCCATTCGTATGTGCTACCACCCCACTGGAGAGCCAAGAGGAGGCAGATGATGCTTGGAGCAAAGAATAGGTTGCCCAGCGGATCCATCCGAAAAAACTTCTCCTTCGCGGTGAGGGATGCCTGTCGAGGTGGCGGAACATGAAGGAAAAACAAAACTATGAATATCGAGACCGCGCCGATGGGGAGATTAATGTAGAAGCACCACCTCCACGTGAGAGATGCGTTCTTGGTGAAAGCACCTCCAACCAAAGGCCCAATCACAGACGAGACACCGAAGATGGCGCCAAGGAGCCCCTGATACATTGGCCGCTTCTCAAGTGGCGCAAGAGGAATCATGATAACAATCACTCCTGAGAACACTCCAGCTGACCCAGCTCCTGCTATTGCTCGACCGATGATGAAGGCGATGGAGTTGGGTGCAGCTCCACAGAGGGCTGATCCAACTTCAAACAGAAGGATGCAGCCAAGGAAAACAAATTTGCCATTGTAGAAGCTGTATAAACGACCGAAGAGTAGCTGAGTCGCGCAGCTGGCGAGCACGTAGGCGCTGCCATACCAGCCGATGTCTCCTATCGAATGAAACTCGTCCGTGATCTTAGGCACGGCTGTTGAGATGATGATGCGATCCTATTGAACGTCAGCATTGGCTTATGTGAGGAGTAGTGTTCACTTCGGAAGTCTTACCAGGGCTACCAAGAACATCGAGATGTACAAGCCGAGCATAACCACTATGACTGTTCGAAGAGGGGGATATTCGATATCGGGCTTTTTCTCTGTAATTGATGATCCAGTTGGGTCGGAGGGTTTCTCAGAGGGATCGACCTCCTTCAGATTCGTGGGCTCCAGACCTTCATTTCTCTCGACATCTCCTGAATAGGAGATTGACTGTGTTGTTTGTGACATTGTGATAAGAGCTCCGTGTCTTTGAAACCTAGGTATTGTTGGTGTATCTAAGACGTTGCTACAATACGGAACTGATTTGCTTTAATTTGGTAACTTCGTTAAGCAATGGAAACAAGACGTTCGGTATCTCCATTTTGAAAACTAATTGGATCTGCTCAGTCTTATAGGAAATCTCAACTTTGGTGTCGGTCCCGTAAGTGGCGCTCATTTCCCTTCGTTTGTAAGTGTCCTGAAGCTTGCGAATGCTGCGAATGTACCGAGTCGGTTGCTCCTTGGGGTTCAGCCAATCAGGCGATGGGTCGCAAACCCGTATGATCGCCGAATGTTGCGAATTTTCCGAATTTACCGAGCGAGACGGTGCGGCCACCTCATCTCGTTTCCTCCCACTCCTGCTAAGACACGCGTCAAGATTCGTTAATTAATATGTTATGATTAGGTACCATGAATTCAATTGATTTTATTGACTTGACTGTGAAGCTGTGGAGCTCATTTAAATGCGCTTCCATGAACTGAGTGGTGATTGCGCACGTCGGTCGTTCGCCCGCTTTTCCAAGTCACGTAATGGTATTTCGTTCCAACAGAGCATTCCATTCGTCCCAATTTATAGCTCCCCAGTCCGGAAGGGCGACATCTCCAGTAAAAGTATCAAAAATTCCGTTAAACAGATAGCCAACATTGGGCAGATCTAACGGCTGCGGCAGCCCAATGTTAACACCATTTATATCAAAGGTTGGATCTGTTTGTAGTGGAATAGTGGGCTGGATTGCAACTTGTACATCTGATTGTGAAGTTGTGTCGAATATCTGGCCCATGGTGTTCTTTTTTCGGTCTCGTAAACTCAAGATGATAACTGGGGTGGCTACCGGCTCAAGACCGCGCCGTGCTATCTCTTTCTCTCTAGCGTCCCATGCTCGTAAAGTCAGCTCAATCACGGCTGCGTGAAGGGTGTTTGCCGTGTCGGTCAGAAGATTTGGACGGAGTTTGAAGACTTCGGTGACCAGATGCCAAGCCTTTTCCGTTAAAGGACCAGTCGGTGGCTGACTTCGCGATTCTATAAGCATGAAGACGAAGGCATCGACCTGGAAGATAGCATCAAGATGCCACGAGAAACGCTCCAAGTCTCCCGTTGCTTTGCCCTGAACATGACACTCAACCAACTGGACGCTCCAGAAGAACAGCTTATCGTGCTCTTCTTGCGGCAGGGACTTGCCTTTGTCTGGGTACTGAGCAGGATGGTGCGCCATCATCCTCATTTTCCAGATTGCTGCATGCCCTCCACCAGCTGCAAGCATATGAAGGCTAACTGCTTGATCCAAGTATTTCAGATACTTCTCCTGTATGTGACTCTCGAAGACGTCGATGATGTTGTCTCTCTCCTCAATAGATGTGGCTGGGTTGTGAAGTTTCTTTCCAGCCTCAGTAAGAAACTTGCCCATTTCATATCGGATAAGACAAAAAGTCATCTCTGTCGGACCTTTGTGAAGGGGAGGCATATCAGTCATACTTGGACTGATGTCTGAATCATTCAAGTTGGCGGGTAGCGGAAAGTTAATGGCGTCAGAAAACATGATCTTATGTCCTGCGGCTTGGTGACTTCGTCCATCTAGCCATACAATCTGCCACCAGAGACGTCGTCGAAGCTGGACATCGTAGACCGATATATCTTGGGATGTACCCCTATCAGCTTGTGGGTTGAGTCTCTGGCCCATTCGGACAGCCATGCCTGTGAGAAGCCACATCGTTTGGACATCATAAATGGATCTCGCCGCCAGCTAGTGGTCTGTGAGCGGTAATCATCAACCATAAGTTTGGGAAACGTACAAGGAATATGGTGAAAGCTTGCAGTATGATCGTGTTGGGGGATCTCATAAAGCTTGCGGCAGCGAGTGCTTGCTGGCATACTGAGAGATAGCGAATCTGGAGAACTCTACGTGGCTCGCCTAGCGTTCGAAGACATTCTTCGTCTTTCATGGACATCGCAGCTGCGGCATAGACAGCAAAGAGTAGCGCGACGTATGGCTTGCTCGTCGAATCGAAGTCCCTGCTGGCTTCTATAACATGCTGCTGAACAGCGGGTGCATAAACAACTTTAGATAAGGGATTCACATTCTGCAGGAACGTCTGCCACAGCATGAATGCATTCATCGGAGACGGATGCCACTCTCGAAGACTAACATCCCTCGGAGTGCTCGAGAATAGCAGGTCTGACGGATTTGAAATAACACCATCCCCGACCGGTGTTGTATCGTCGTCTTCTAGATCTGAACCTCTGGCAGTGTGTGGCTCTTGAAACTATGATTCGTCAGCGTTAAGGATACGTACTCAGGTGGAAATGATCACGAACATCTTCATTCAGACCAGTCCATAGGTTGCTATCACTCTGGTTAGTCCAGACAGCCTTCTCCTGGCTCATTTGTAGATATGACATACTGGCCAAATGCTGGGACGATCCTAGGCGCTCTACCTCCATCTTGGCTTGAGTTAGACTCATGAGACCTCGGCCGTGGAATGTCCCGAATAGCCTCCGAATGTTCCGGAGGACCTGCGCGCAGCCTTTTGCGACGCTTGTAAGGCGCGCGAGTGCCCGGGATGCAATCAGCTCCAAGCTTTGTACATGCCGAGCAAGGATGCCTTCGGTCGCATCGCACTTTGCGTTGTTTGCATAGCACGCACGAGTACTCGTGCGAATAGCCTTGTGCTCCCGGTGTGCTCGCTGCAGATGCAGCCGACGGTGACGGCATTTTCTCTTTTCAACTGACGATACGATGAGTTTGAAAGACTTCTCTTGGTGCAAGAAGCAGGGTACTTTCGAGTATACAGATGATGAGAACGTTGTTTGATGGCGTGTGAGCTTAGCATTCCTGTCAAACTGAGGTGGCCTCGGAGGATTCGGAAGATTGGGCGAGATTGCACGGCCCACTCATTGTTCGTAGTCGCTGATTACATCACTAATTTTGCCTGCACTCTAGGACACATATCTACTGTGATGGTATCTTTCATGAGCTTTTAAGCAATCTTGGCAATACAGCCCTCACGTCTTTTTCTTTGGTCAATAACGTTGTCAGATGCGCAAATTGGGTGGAGCGCGCATCAAGAAATTAATTTGTATTTTCAGTGGTTAGTAGGAGCCTACATTTTCCCTCCCTCAGACACAACATGGTTCAGTCTATGTCACCGTATCTCAGAAACGAATTCAGGCTGCTCAAGACCAACAGGCATCGTTCATTTCGACTCGCCTGTCATCATATCAAAATGGAGTAGTCTAACCGTCCAAGACCAGCATTATCTGAGCTCTGGGGAGCTTTGTGCAATTGAATCCCGTTTTTGTCGAATTGGGGGAGGGGTTTGGTAGCCGATGCAGTAGTGCTGGAACTCAGCAGTTATTGAATACTGGAATGACTCGGTTCGAAGCAATGGAATCGTTTGCTTGCGAGGTTGTGATTGTCTACCTTTTGGCGTATCAGAGAATAGAATTTAAATAACACGGAGCAACATTTGCAAACCTCGTATACCAAGCTCGACTTGAGAGAGATCATTGCTACGGTGTGGCCGCTTCACCCTAGAGTGAAGTGTGGCGACGATTCCCAGTGTTGCTAGAAAAGAAGAGACAATACCGAAGGCAATGTTGACAATGACATCGGAGTTTATTGGTGACATGATATTAAAATCCAGGACGGTGTTTAATTGTACATATTCATAAATAAACAGAAAAACAGAAGAATCTCGGCTGGCAGCGTGTACATCCAGACATTCTAGACGTCTTACTTTAAACTCCTTTATGTCTTACCTGGACAATATGCTGGAAGGTTTTCGAAGTGTTGCATCCTGCGCCTTCATGCTCGAGAAGCTACGGGTGATTTACACGGCGCAGCAATGGTATTCATGGGGTAATTTTCGTGCTCCAAGGGTACTTGAACTTACAGCTCAAGATTTTCATGGTGTTTCTCTGCCTTTTGTTAAACGCAAGCACATTGACTCGAGTGTTTGACTGATTGGGATCATGTCACACACAGATCGGCACAACATCGGCTAGGCTGATGACCCCAAGATCTTCATGGCGCTCCGGAGTCAAGGCGAATTTCGGGGGTTCTCATTGGCACAAGAGCGCGGCGCCATGAAAAGCAAACCCCCGAATTACATTGCCTTGGCTCGCTTGGAAATCCATAGCTTTAAATGGGTGTTTTCCTTTCGCCTACGACACAATAAGGGAATTCTTCTTTTGATATAATACGTCAACATCACATCTTTGACGAAGCGCGGCTCCGTTGTATCAAGCCAGACTAAATTCGGAATTCTTTAGATTTTAGACCTATCTGAGAGATTACCAACGCTACGGAGCAATGTACAGGCCTTCACAGTGTCACGGGAGCCAAGATGCAGATAATGATACTCAGATGACTGATTTTCCATGGGGTGATGGTTTTCATAATGCTGCGAGACAACAATCGGCATGGGCAGAAAATAATAACACTAGTTGTGAGTTTTCCCTTGATGAAACCTTTGAGGAGACATATCGCCAAAGCAACATATTTGGAGAGGTTGACTTGAGCGATCTCGACTTGAATCTTGAGGATTGGAACTTCGACGTTGCATCATTAAACCCTCTAACGGGAACTCGAAACTCCATTGAAGAAAGTCAAATTTATGGTTTTACCAGACCCGACGAGCGTTATGCTAGACAAGGAAGGAAAAAGGAACGACGAGTCAAGCTCAATAGATTCCAAAATAGCGTCCTTCAACAGTGGATCTCAAGCCATTCTGAGCCGTACCCAACCAGAGAGGAGAAATCAGAGTTGAGTCAGAAAACAGGGCTCACCATCAACCAAATTAGCTCATGGTTTGCAAGAACGCGCCAGAGGAAGCTGCGACCCATCCCCGTTGCTAAACGGCATTTACACTCAAACGCACCATATGAAGATGCAAAAATTTCGAGTGTAGTCCACAATGACACGAATTTCAAGATCTTATGTCCCAGTAACAAAAGCCTGCCGCTTGAGAAG